ACTCTGTATGGTACTGTAATTATGGATACAGGTCATTATACCTTTGTCCAAACCCACGGGATACACACAGGAGTGAACCCTAGGGGCTCCTGGGTGGCTGTCGGTTAAGTGTCAGACTTCAGCTCAGGTCAGGACCTCAGGGTTCTTGGGCTCTGGCCCTGCACTGGGCTCTGTGCTGAAAGCTCATGCTCAGTCTCTTTCTCTCTCAAAAATAAATATTTTAAAAACTAAAAAAAAAAAAAAAAAGTGATCCCTAATGTGAACTATGGGCTTCGGGTGATGATAATGTGCTAATGTAGGTTTGAGCGTAACAGATGTACTATCCTGACGGGGGTGTTGGTAATAGGGGAGGCTGTGCATGTGTGGGGGCAGAGAGTATATGGGAAATCTGCACCTTCCCTCAGTTTTGCTATGAGCCTAAAAATGCTCTAGGGACCCGTGGCTGGCTCACTCAGTACAGCTTGAGACTCTTGATCTCAGGGTGATGAGTTCAAGCCCTATATTGGGCATGGAGCCTACATTAAAACAACAAGAACAACAAAATGTGCTTTAAAAAAATAAAGCTTTAAAAAAATAAAAATGGCTCAAACCCATCAACCACGAGATCATGACTTGAGACAAAACTAAGAGTCGGACACTTAACTGACTGAGCCACCCAGGAGCCCCTGTATTCTTTTCTCTGTAAATAAATCAGTGTGTGTTAAGAGTCACTTGGTTTTTTTGGTTGCAAACTGTCTCTTCACATGTTGTGCCCATTTTCAGATGTGTTTTTGGTGTTCTCATTTTAAGAGTTCTTTACAGATTAGGAATATTCGTCTTTCATCTGTGATTAGAGCGTGTTTGTTTTTTTAATGTACTAAGCCATTCAAAAATGCTTATGTAGCTAATTTTATCAGTCTTTTCTCTTAGCACATCTGATTTGGAGTCATAGTTAGGAAGCCTTTCCTCACACCTCGATTATGAGATTTCACTCTTCGTTTCTTCTAGCACCTGGGTGGTTTCCTTTTTAAATTTACCTCTCTGGTGCATGCGGAATCTTGTCTTACGTGTCGTGGGACAGAGGATATCCATTTTATCTTTTCCCAGGTGCCTCTCCAGTCCCCTCAACATTTATGAAAGTACCTGTCTTTCCCAGTAATAACAAGGTGCCACCTTTATTATACACTAATAGCCATATTTACTGTGGCGCCTTTATTGTTTTAGTAAGCTTTATATTTGTAGATCTGAGTTGAGAATTAACTAGTTTTTGTAATCTACATCTCCAAATTAAGAATGTCGTCCTTTGTCTCTTTCTCGCACTTTCCATGCTCACCCTCTACCTCTGATGTTGTGTTGAAATCATCTGGTACCATGGTTCCAATTTGGTTTTGCCTCAGTTTTAGTTGGTTTTAACATCATGGTTCTGCTAACGTGGGATTCTCTCTTAGCAACTGCAGCAAGTATCAGAAGACCTTCATCAGCACTTTCTCAGCATTAGTTGTAAAGTACACACTGGTATCCGTGCCCGCCACTGCTTCGTGAAGCCCATTGTTTCTCGGTTGTGCTTGTTTGTCTTTTCCTAGACCTACAGGGAAACCTTACGTACACTTTTGGGAAAACTCACTGAAAGTTCTGAGTTGCTGAAACTCATCAAACCCTTGATGTGGTATCAGTATTCCGTGTGCCAGCGGAGAGTTTTAGGCGGCTGTGTGTCATCCAGAGCGTCTTCACTGCTCTCAAACTCTTTGCTTGTAGGGAACTTGTTTCACTTCTTTGAAGGTAATTCGTTCTCTTTTGCTTTGTTTTCTTTCTGGCGGCCTTCGTGGCTTTTTCTTCATGTTTGAAGTTTATTAGCTTATCAGTAATCATCTAGATCCTGCACCTCATCTCATTTACCCTGCTTGCATTCGGGTAGTCCTGTCTTTCTTTCTGAGAACTGAAATCCGTTTTTCAGTATGAGGAGGTTGCAGGTAATTTTAGGTTTCTTGCTACGTTTTTCTCTTTCTTCGCTTTCTTAACTCCTGCTTGCTAGATGTCCTTTGTCCTTCATTCTCTCAACTTTTTCCTGCTAATGTTTAGCTTTGTGCCTTTCAGCACTGCTCTCTGGAACTATCACTTGACTCAGTTTCCCCGTTGACTTATTGATAGTGTTCATCTCCGTCAAGATTTTCTTTCTGCCCATGTGTTAAAATTGAGATGATCTGTTCGGCAATTATATTTTTATTCTAATGAGTAACTTATAGCAGCCTGTTCCTTTTTGTGTGTATGAGAGAGAATATGTCATCTCAAAACTCTTCAATAATATACAATATTTATTAAGTACTTTCTTCTTCATTTATCACTGTTACTAGAATGTTCATTTTCTCTGGTCTTCATGCTTCTCTCTTTTTTTTTTTTTTAGTGTTTTGTTTATTTCTGAGAGAGAGAGACAGCATGAGCAGGGGAGGGTCAGAGAGAGAGAGGGAGATACAGAATCCGAAGCAGGCTCCAGGCTCTGAGCTAGCTGTCAGCACAGAGCCCGACGTGGGGTTCGAGCCCACGAGCCATGAGATCATGACCTGAGCCGAAGTCGGACGCTCAACCAACTGAGCCACCCAGGCGCCCCTTCATGCTTCTCTTTCATGGTGTTACTTTTCATCAAATATTCAGTGATTCTTGTTTATTTAAATGTTAAATGGCATTGAAATTCTAGATTGGCCAGTATTGGTTACTGAAGTGTATTCTCTCAGGACAAAGGATAATCCCTACTCTTTCTGTTTTCTTTCACATAGATGCAGTTACAGATTCTTCTGTTTTCGAGGGTTTCTGATCAGTCTGATTCAATGTGATTTCCATTTTCTATAAATTTCACACTGCCCCAGTTTATTGATTGTGCCCTTCTTCAAACCCAGTGCTATCATGGATTTATTCTGATTTTAAAACTTTGTTTCACTTTAGAAGAGAATGGGAAATAAAAGTAAAAGGCCAGTTCAGAGGTTTTGTTTCCAGTTTATGAAACAAAAATGTATGTCCTCCTGCATGGAAGTCATGGCTATTAAACATAATAGACACTCCGAGGGTCCCCCCCCCCAGCTCAGCAGGAACAGGACCTCACCCAGGGTCATTGCGGTTCTAGTGACTCAGTGTCTGGGCCTCAAGTTTGCACATTCAATATCACCTACGTTGTCATAATAGGCTAGTGTATAAACCTTGATGCCAGTGTACTAACCTAAAACACGGGGGCACCTGGATGGCTCAGTTAGTTAGTGTCCAACTCTTGGTTTCAGCTCAGGTCATGATCTCACAGCATCTTGGGTTCGAGCCCCGCGTCTGGCTCTGTGCTGGCAATGTGGAGCCTACTTGGGATTCTGTCTCCCTCACTCTCTGCCCCTCCCCCACTCATCCAGTCTTTGCCTTTCTCAAAATAAGTAAACTTAAAAAAATAATACAATAAATAAAATGCAGTAACCTCCCTCTTTACTGATTTCATTTGCAAAACAACTGCAAGAAATTTAGAAACAGAACTCCTTCTTGTAAGAATTTAAACACATTTTTCATTTAATTTTATATGCATATATAAAGTAATAAAAAATTTTTAAATTAATATTTTTAATTTTAGAATCACCAAATTAAAGACAGACTGTCCAAGATATTGCTTGAGAAACAGTCATGTCACAAAACTAGAACATTCTGCTTGACCCACCCTGTTTGGGCAGGTGATCATCAGAATCAGAAGCAAGATTATGATCACAAGGTGGCTGGATACTCGGAGTCAGAACAAGAAGGGCTAGTTGAATGATTTCAGAGGTTAGTACCTGAAGGAGATGACGAGTCGCTAGGGTGATACCTTGTCTCCAGGAAAGGCTTGTACCTACTGTGAGCACCGCAGTCTCCCCATCCGTACCTGGAGTTCTCCCGGCCACAGGGACACAACACAGATCTGCTGTCCGCCTGCCTCCTGTTTCCACCAGAAACAGCTGCCTTCTGCAGCTGCCACACCTTTACCTGAGAAAAGTGGCACAGCCAGTTCTCGAGCTTATGGAGGCCACTCCCCCTCTTACCCCTCCCCCCCATGATCCCACTAGGTAGCCAGGGCTGCATCTCCTGTTCAGGGGTTACAGGTGTCCTGAGGTTATTGGGGTCCGTCACCCACAGACAGGTACAGATGGTGCTGAGAAACACCTGATTGCATGGATGTCACTCCAGCGAGCCGGCAGCGAAGTGGTGGAGTGCTGGGTGTCCACAGTCAATCCTTTTGGGTTCAAGTTAGCAGGAGGGTCTCACTAGAGAGGAAGCCAGTCAGCTCCCCTGCCCCACCTTTTGAGATAATACTGGTGCCACCAACTGAGTTCTCCGTGGACTTTATTTGCAGCAAACTGGCTGCATGGAACTTATCAATAAGGCTCTTTATGAGAATGAAAACATGATTTCCTATTCAGTCATTTATATCATGTGCAAAAGGCTGAAATAAACACTTAACTCTGGAATATTTAAGATATAATACTGGGTAAACACAGCAAGCCTTCCTTTCAGATTTCCTTTGGAGGACTTGGGTTTTTTTTTTTTTTAATAAATTTGTGTTGTGTCCTTTTAATGTTTACTTATTTTGAGAGAGAGAGAGAGAGAGAGCAAGCGCGCACACTCGCAAGTCGGGGTGGGGGCAGGGAGAGAGGTCAGAGAGAGAATCCCAAGCAAGCTCTGAGTTATTAGTGCAGAGCCCGACACGGGGCTTGATCCCATTAGCAGGGAGATCATGATGGGAGCTGAAATCAAAAGTAGGACCCTTAACCATCAGAGACACCCAGGTGCCCTGGTTTGGCGAATCTGTCTTCCAAGAATGAGCAGACCAGAATTAACGTCCCCGTCTTCCCTCCGACCAGCCTCGGTACCCAGGCAGGTCAGATATGCCACCTTGTTCTCCCAGCCGCCCTGGGAGAGCTAGGAGCCATCTAGCGGGGAAGCTGCCGCTTGAGCACGCTGGGTGCTGTTCCCGGGGCTTCTGCGGCCGCTCCTTGAATGGAGAACACTTGTGTCTTTTGCAGCTGCGAGGATGACCTCTCCGAGGACAGAGACGAGCTCCTGCACGGGATTTCAGAGCTGGACATCAGCAACTCCGATTGCTTCCCGTCCCAGCTGCTGGTGCACGGGGCTTTAGCCTTTCCCCTGGGGTTAGACTCCTACCATGGCTGTGTCATAGCTGCTGCCCGCTACGGCCGCGGCCGGGTGGTCGTGACCGGCCACAAGGTGTTATTCTCTGTCGGCAAACTGGGCCCCTTTCTGCTCAATGCCGTGCGCTGGCTGGACGGGGGCCGCAGAGGCAAGATCGTGGTGCAGACAGAACTGAGGACACTGAGCAGCCTGCTGGCCGTGGGGGGCATAGACGCCAGCATCGAGCCCCATCTGACCAGCGACGCGAGTGTCTATTGCTTTGAACCCGTGAGCGATGTGGGGGTCAAAGAGCTGCAGGAGTTCGTAGCAGAGGGTGGGGGACTGTTTGTCGGAGCCCAAGCCTGGTGGTGGGCCTTCAAGAACCCTGGCGTGTCCCCTTTGGCTCGGTTCCCAGGAAACCTCCTCCTCAACCCCTTTGGCATCAGCATCACAAGCCAAAGCCTCAACCCGGGGCCCTTCCGTACCCCTAAAGCAGGGATCAGGACCTATCACTTCCGCTCCACTCTGGCCGAGTTCCAGGTCATAATGGGCCGGAAGAGAGGGAATGTGGAAAAGGGCTGGTTGGCAAAGCTGGGGCCGGACGGGGCGGCCTTCCTCCAGATCCCCGCAGAGGAGATCCCTGCCTATATGTCTGTGCATCGGCTCCTGCGGAAACTGCTGAGTCGCTATCGGCTCCCAGTGGCAACCCGAGAGAACCCCGTTATCAATGATTGCTGCAGGGGTGCTATGCTCTCCCTGGCCACTGGTCTGGCCCACTCTGGAAGCGACCTCTCGCTGTTAGTGCCAGAAATCGAAGACATGTACAGCAGCCCCTATCTGCGCCCCTCGGAATCGCCTATCACCGTTGACGTCAACTGCAACAATCCAGGTAAGGAATGGGGGCAGGGGGCTGTGGGCCTCAGAAGGCCTCCCCCACCCGTGGCCGTGCACTTCCCAGGAGACGGGGGTGGGGGTTTTAGGTGGCACTGAAGCACCTGAGTCAGGGCGGCATGAAGGGAGAGAGCGGGGCGGAGCTCCCGCAGGGGCTGTGGATGTGCTGGGCGGAGAGGGCGTCACAGCGCGGGGATGACGTGTGCCCCCCTGTGCACTGGCAGGCACCAGATACTGCTGGGTGAGCACCGGGCTCTACATTCCTGGAAGGCAGATCATAGAGGTGTCGCTGCCTGAAGAGGCTGCCTCTGCTGATCTGAAGGTAAGGCCGGGCCCCATCTCCCACGTGACGCCCAGGCCAGAGGTCCTTGCTGTCATGGTTGCCAGTGAAAAACCCTATTGGCCGTGTGACGCATGTACTTTTACCCCATTTTAAGGATGAGACAACTGAGGGCCGAGTGGATTAAAAGTATCGATCTAGTACACCTGGAACTGACCTCTAACACTGTGTGTCAACTCCACTTCGGTCAGTCAATAGATGTGATGCATCGCAGAGCCCAGGACTCACCTAAGCAGCTGTGGCTCTCAAGTTTTGTGCTTTTCACTTACCTCCCGCAGTGGGGAATAAGAAGGGCACCGGACAGGAGGGCCTGGCTGGCTCAGTAGAGCAAGCGAGTCTCAATCTCAGGGTCGTGAGTTCAAGTCCCACGTTGGGCACAGAGCCTGCTTTAAGAGAATAAAAATTTTAAACATAAAATACTTCCATTAAAATAAAGTAAAATAAGGCACTCTGACACACAGCAGTGTTCAGTCAACCTCGTTCGCTGTCTGTGCCCATTGACTCTCCCACTGGAGCCCAAGGTCTTCCTGCCTCTTCCCTGTGACCCGAAGATTGTTCCTGCTTCCCTGGTCCACCTCCAGCTCTGCTGCCGTCACACACACACACACACACACACACACACACACACACTCTGTTCACTAATTAAGTAGCCTTCCCGCTCGGTCCCCCTTGAGAGTCGTGACGGGTAGGGTCTGTCCTGTGCCCGTACCTCTCCTGGAACTTTCTAGCATCAGCCTGGGACAGCTATCCCAGGACTCTGCCAAGTAGAGGGACTGCTCCATTGGCCCAGGAGGGGGGCCCTGGAGAACGGGAGGGACTGAGTCCGTCCTGCAGGTCATCGGCCCATCACACTGCCTCCCACCGGGCCTCCTCTCTAGTCAGCAAAAGGCAGAAGTCAGCGAGGTCCCCCCTGCCCCACTGCCAGTGCCAGAATGGCCACAGTGAAATAGGCAACCCAGCATTCTATGGGTTTCAGAGACACCCCGGGGCCCCCAGCGGGAGCCAGCCCTCCTCAGTAATAGCGTGTGGGTTACCTCCAGCGGCCCTCACCTCAGCGTCCCCGGGAGGACATTTACATGCTTAGCACACGTGGTTCATAAATGGTGGGAAAACTGGGCTCTGCATGGGGTCATGGCCCCGTGATCCTGACTGTCCCCACCTCCTGGGAGCCCTCCCTTCCCACCTGCACACTCCCCGAGGTGACTCTGGGCCTGATCTCTCCGCTCCAGATACAGATCGGCTGCCACACGGATGACCTGACCAGAGCCAGCAAGCTGTTCCGAGGCCCGCTTGTGATCAACCGCTGCTGCTTGGACAAGCCCACGAAGTCCATCACCTGCCTCTGGGGCGGCCTCCTCTACATCATCGTGCCTCAGAGCAGCAAACTGGGCTCCGTGCCCATCACTGTGAAGGGGGCTGTGCATGCGCCGTACTACAAGCTGGGTGAGCGGAAGCGTGGGGTGCACCCCTGGGGGAACGGGACAGCCAGCCCAGGAGGCTGTAGGGAAAGAGACACTCGGGCTGGTAGAGGGAAGGAGATAAGGACCACACCACAGTCATGGGAAGGACTTCACAGAAGGACAGAGAGGGGACGTGGTTGTTCATGACCTTGCCAGCCCAGGGCTCAGGCTGTATGTTTTCATGTAGGGGATTTGGGAAAGTGAGTTTCAAGCTGCACGGCCTCTCTTCCCAGGGGAGACCTCGCAGGAGGAGTGGAAGAGGCGTGTCCAGGAGAACCCAGGTCCCTGGGGAGAGCTGGCCACGGACAACATCATCCTGACCGTGCCCACCGCCAATCTCCGTACCCTGGAGAACCCCGAGCCGCTGCTTCGCCTGTGGGACGAGGTGATGCAGGCTGTGGCGCGCCTGGGGGCCGAGCCCTTCCCTCTGCGCCTGCCCCAGAGGATTGTCGCCGACGTGCAGATCTCAGTTGGTGGGTGCCCTCTGCGCGCTGCCCCTCGGGGCCTCTCCGTTTTTTTTCCAACGCCCATCCAGCGGGTGGCCAGCAGTGTAAAAATATTTTCTGGCAAGACATATAAGATGCAAGTCTTGCTATCTAGATGAAAAGGGAGAAAATGTATCTAAAAAAATAGATGTAGCCATATCCCCTAACAAAAAATTGGAAACTGCCTAAATGTCCAACAGTATGCGATGTTGTGTGTACCTTCAACAGTCATCGAGGGAAATATTTAAAGTGATATTCTGATGGTGTAAAGAAATATGATGGGATTCTGCGACACAAGAAAAGCAGGCTATAGAACTGTATGAGCAGTACACTAAAACACATAACCGTTGACGGGCGCCTGGTGGCTCAGTTGGTAGAGCATCAGACTTTGGCTCAGGTCATGATCTCACGGTTCGTGGGTTCAAGCCCTGCATCGGGCTCTGTGCTGCCAGCTCAGAGCCTGGAGCCTGTTTCAGAGTCTGTGTCTCCCTCTCTCTCTGACCCTCCCCTGCTCAAGGTGTCTCACTCTGTCTCTCTCTCAGAAATAAATAAAACAGAAAAAATATTAAAAAAAAAACAACAACTTTGAGAAGACACTGAATGAAGAGATCTTTGCCAGGGGGTCAAGAATCCTTAAAAAATCAGAGGGTGTGTAGACATTAAAGAACAGGAGAAATTTCTTTGGGCCCCAGTTTTCTTGCCTTCTGGGGGTGACAGTGTAAAGTAGTGTCCGTGTGGCCAACTCCGCACCTAAGTAATGAGACGGGGAGACCACCGTCAGAGTTCTAGTTCTGAGAGAAGGGTGTAGTGAGGCAGGCTCGCGTGGACAGGACAATCGCACAGAGACAGAAGAGCTGAATAGAGACGGGAAGGGCTGTCTGTAACGTGGTCAGTCCTGTAGCCGCGCACTCTTGGGTGGGAGTGAGGGGGGGGAGGCGTAGGTGGGTCTCGTGAAGCTCCTCCTTCCGAGCGTCCTGAGTTTTGGGGGTCCCGGTACAGAGGGGTGGGGAGCACTCTAACCCCGCTTCTCCCTCCTGCACCCAGGCTGGATGCACGCAGGGTACCCCATCATGTGCCACCTGGAGTCAGTGCAGGAGCTCATCAACGAGAAGCTCATCAGAACCAAGGGGCTGTGGGGCCCCGTCCACGAGCTGGGCCGGAACCAGCAGCGGCAGGAGTGGGAGTTCCCCCCGCACACCACGGAGGCCACCTGCAACCTGTGGTGTGTTTATGTGCACGAGACGGTCCTGGGCATCCCTCGAGGCCGCGCCAATATCGCTCTGTGGCCTCCCGTCCGGGAGAAGAGGGTCCGAATCTACCTGGGCAAGGGTCCCAATGTGAAAAACTGGAACGCGTGGACCGCCCTGGAAACATACCTGCAGGTACTGGGCAGGAATGGAGGGGGATGGGAACCGCCCACTGGGGGGCCGCCGGCACAAGCTTGTCAGGTGACGTCCTAGTGACCTGACCAAGCCCAGGTGTGACAGTCCTATTTGATGAAGCCTCTCAGGACCTTAAGTGGACGTGATGCCTCAGACCCATCTTCACACCATGACTCTGAGGAGATTCAGGAGAGTGGATAGAAAGCGCCACAAAAGATTAAGACTGGGTAGAGGCGAAGAGCACTATAAATACGGTTACTGTCACTGGCTTTAAACCCAGATATACCTGAGACTGAAGCCAAGCCATGCCATAGACTAGCCTCGAAAACCAAACACCCCACCCGCCCCACAAGATATGGGATGGGCCCTATTATTTCCTTAGAGGAGGCAGAGCTTCTCCCTGCCTCAGTTTCTCCCTCTTAGGCAGTCCCACTTTCCTCACTGGCCTGGACACGAGGTTGCCTCTGCCTTTGAACTACTGTTCAACAGGCTAGTTCCCTCCCCCCAGTCGCTGGGGGGCTCCCAGCTTACCGGGCAGCGTCTCACCACCCGGGATTCGGGAACTGGGTCTCCAGCCAGGCACACTCTGTTCTGGTTCTTCCTCTGTTCCAATCCACTGCCCTGAGAACAACAGGGAAAGTGCCCGGAGACCCTACTGTAACCTTGTCATTGGCCGTTGTCAGCCCAAGGACAAAAGGTGCCCCTGTGTGAAATCCAGCTGACGGTGTCCCAGGGAATGCTGCTGCCCGTCCTAGCTGTAAAGCGCCATAACCCAGCCGCACGTGAGCTGTTTCCAAGGGCCTCAGGACAGCTGCCTTTCCCCAAAACTCTGCCTTACTTCATTCTAGCCACCCAGACTATACAGTCTTCTGTGTCTACAGTACTCACTTTTGTTTTCCTCAAGGCCATGTTCCTAGACTTGCAGACTGACATAGGCCTGTGGCTGATGCAGGTCAATGTCAGGGTGAGGGTGGGGGTTCCCCACTTATCGGAGTTTAACTCCGCAACTATGGAAGGTACAAGGGGTGTTTTCACATCAGCCTGTTTTAAATCCTTGTGTGATACAGGGTGGACGCTTTCATGATCTCGTGAGCTACATGAATGATGGTACTGGTGGTTAATACTGATAATAATGATTGCACTTGTTACCACGGCCATCATGTATTGAGTGTCTGCTCTGTGCTGAGCACCGCGCTAGCTCAGAGCTCCTTCTGAAGATAGAGAATGGCCCATGAGGCCAGCAGCTGCGACAGGAGAGAGGGTCACTGACAGAAATGAAACTTGTCTTTCAGAGGCTAAATACATTACTGTAGTGTCTGCCGGGCCTTCCTTCTGTGGATTAAATGTCTCATCTTGCTGCTGCTTTCTCTTCCCAGCTACAGGAGGCCTTTGGGTGGGAGCCATTCATCCGTCTCTTCACTGAGTATAGGAACCAGACCAACCTGCCCACAGACAATGTTGACAAGATGAAACTGTGGGTGAAGATGTTCTCCCACCAAGTGCAGAAGAATCTGGCTCCGTTCTTTGAGGCCTGGGCCTGGCCCATCCAGAAGGAAGTGGCTACCAGCCTGGCCTACCTGCCTGAATGGAAGGAAAATATTATGAAATTATACCTCCTCACACAGATGTAAGGAGTGCCCAGCGAGGTGGCAGGTAGAGAGGTCTGGGGAGGCAGAGGCAGAGCTGGGGGTTCAGTCCTCCACCTCTGTCTCTTAGGGACCTAGCCCTGCCCTCGCAGCTCACTGCCCCTCGATCTGACTGCCTGGCTCCACCCCTAGAAAGTGGGTTAAGAACACAGCACAAAGGGGAGTCAGAATTTCTCAGGAGCAAGGCCTTTTGTTTGTGAGTCTCGTTCCTCCGCTCTCAGCCGTCAGAGTCCCTCCCGGCGCCAGCCCTTGGTTCGCCATTGTGGGCCCTGGCCCTTAAGGGGTGGTTCTCATCCTGAGGACTGTCTGGGCTTATATTTTGTGACCAGCTGTTCCAAAAACTTGACCCTAGAATCCACTGCGACACAAATTTACCAGGATAGCCAGCCAGTTCTTTGATGCTCTGTGTCTTGGGTAGTTTTCCAAGAGCGTGAAAGCAGCCTGGTTTGGCAGAAAGAGCCCGTAGCAGGGGTTAGCTCTTGGGAAAGTCACTGTAGCTCTTTGGGTGTGAGGTGAGGACAAAAATCCCTGCCTCACAGGGTTGTCCTGATGACTCAGACTGACGGCTCTGAAGAGGCCATGTTCTGCTGGTCACAGAGTAGTGAGCTTAGTACTTCCTCTCTCTTGCCGTGGCCGAAAGGTTAAGACCGTCATCTGTCACGGCAGACTCCTTGCATCCAAAGCCTGGTTCTTTCACCTGTTAGTCGTATGACTCTGGGCAAACTCCTTATAAAATGGGATCTATTTCATAGAATTATTGTGAGGATTAAATTTTAGTACCTCTCAAAGGAATTGGGACAGTACCTGGCAGGTGGTAGGTACTGAGAAAATGTCAGCTTCTGTTGTTAGTGTCTAATTAACTCAGTATCATTTTAGAGCCAGACTGCCTTTTTAGGTGGCATTTATAGATGGCAGCGGGGTCCGTCCCGTGCCATCCTACACTTTACACACCAGCCTCTGGAAAGATTGTGGTGTGTTGCTTTAAGATCTACAGGATCCACAGGCTCTGAATTCACATTGGGGGTTTAATTAGCTACTTGGGGTTGGTCTGTTTATTCAGTACCACCTTTCAGGTAAAGGCCCTTCTTGGACTAAATCAAGAGTGGAAGTCACTTGAAAAACTAGAACAAATCCATGAGGGTGTTTGTCTTTGGCAAACAAAGGGCACCTGGCTCAGTGATGGTGTCTATATTTGCATAGTGACACAGATTCCTATCTCTGCCCAGAGCTCCTTACCAGTCTGGCAGATAAAGTCCACACACAGATAGAAATCTTTACTTGAGAACCAAATAACTGGATACGACCAACCCAAATTTTATTTAATTGCAGCGCAAAGATTTTCTCAAGTTTCCTTCTGATCTTATTCACAACCTCTCATTTTCTGGGTAATTTTAACTGGAGTTGAGGCTCTGGAATTAATGCGTACATCCTGCCATTTTTCCTTTAGATCACTTCTATTCATGTAGTTGTCTTAATATACTACTTTATTCACTCTATTAGGAACCAGGTGGATGCAGAGGCAATAAGATTTGACCCACAGTGTTTTTCTGTGGATTCCTTTATTATGTCATTTCTCGGTCCTAGAATTATTTTCCCTCATTTCATGAATGTCTTTATCTAGATGCTTTAAACATAGATTTGGGACATTCATTCAACATTTGAAAAAAATCCTGTCAATTAGTGGGTTTTTGAGGGTACGACAGATAACATACTTGTTTTTTTAAATATAGAATGTTTAATTTGATCTTCACAATAATCTGATGAAGTGGAAATTTTTCACTCCCATTTCAGGCATAAGTGAACTAAATTTTATGGAGATCAAGTAAATTGCCTACGGCTGCACTACTAACAAGTGGTAGACCTGGGATTCGAACCAGGGCACTCTGATTACAGAGCGGGTGTTAGTAAGGAAAGCACTTGGAATAAGCAAATCAGTGAGTAAATGAAACCAGCCAGCAAACAGAAGGACCTTAAAGTCCTTGCCAGCTTCTTGGCTGCTCGTACTCACCCCTCATCCAATTTTATCAGAACAGAAAGTCCCTTTGTTTACTCCAAATACCAGTTCAAAGGAAGAATCTACCGAAGGCTCCTGAAGTGTTTCCCAAAGACAGTGTAGGTGTTTCAGGTTTCAGTCTATTCAGAGTTTGTTCGTGCGTTATCTCTAGGGCACCATGAACACATTCTAGTAACTTACTGGGTTTTAAATGATGGGTTATTTTGATAAAGTGCCTGACTCCCAAAAGCCCCAGACATTGCATGTTCTCAGCAAGGAAATCAGATTCTTAGTCCTCTAGAATAATGTTTGTAGGCATTCTGGCCCTCCATAGTTCATTTTTAGCATTGCAGCCCCAGGGAGCTTTTAAAAATATAAAGCAATATATTCATGTCACTCCTGTGTAAAAGCTTCCAGTGGGACTTTGAATTTACGATGATGAACTGAGCATATAAGTTTACTTCCCCTCCCTCCCCAGGCCCCACTGAAATTGAAGTCAAGAAATGCGAAAGAGAATTGACACATCTCAACAAAGAAAATGGAACAGATTTGATTATAATGGAAGAAGATCTCAACACATTTCTGGAAGAGAACGTGGATGAAGCATGATAACAAATGAAAGAGTGAAGGTATCTTTCAGACAGGAGAGAAGCTGATCTGAACAACATAATCCCAAAGAAACATGAGCACCTGAAAAGTCTATAGAGTTATACCTTATACCTGTTGTAAATCTGAACCCCACCCTATTCTGCCCCAGCCACTGTGCAGAACCCAGGCAGTATGCAATTGGTACCCATTAAAAATCTGTTGTTCTTGTGGTTGGTGTTGTTTGTACAGAATACGATTAAACTGCCTGAGGAGAGGTAGAAGTTGGTGCCCCAGAATAAGATTTCTCTTTTTATGGAAATAAGTGACCCCTAGCTTATCAGCTAATTCTCTGACCGTTAAAATCCCTCGGCAAATGCCCGAGTGCTTCTCATCCCCAAAGAGGCTTACTAGAGAAACAGACCCCACCATACAATGGCAGAGGACACCCATGCCCACTCCCGTGGAAGTTAACAGTTAACATCTGAATCTTAAATACATATAATCAGCTAGGAATTCCCAGTTGTTGGGCTTGGGGGTTGGGGTGGGTGAGGACCTGAGGAGAAGCATGTAAGAAAAATAACCAATTAGAATTGGGAGACTTGAAAAACAGAACAAACTCTAGAGGAAACCTAGAGAATGTGGAAAGAACAACTTTAAAAATCCATATCTTCAGAGAGATTTGAGGTGTATTTATAAGATGAAAACAATGCTACAAAGAAAAGAAAAACTGAGATGAAAAAGAGCCCTCTGAAAGTCAAATAAAACTACCCAAAATATTCAGTAGACAGGCTGGAAAATAAAGTTGAGGGAAACTCCCTAGATATAGAACAAAAAGAAACAGCAGAAAAAAATAAAGGAAGGAAACAGATCTAGCCAATCAATATTTAAGCATTAGGACTTTCTGGAAAAGAGAACATATAAAATATTGATGAAGAAATTTTTTACAAATTGAAGAACAGAAAGAACCAAGTCTCTAGATTGAGGGGCCCCGATACAACCTATATCTAGACCCGATCTTGTGACATTTTGGAATATTAAGGAAAGAGGGAAGATATTACAAGTGCCCAAAGAAAATAAAGTTATCACAATTAGCTCAACTGAAAAGGGATGAGAAATAGACTGGCAGCAGATTTTTCATCAGCAACAGTGAATACTGGAAGCCGATGGAGCAATTTCTTCCTTTATGGAAAACTTCAGGATCCCGGATAACCTAGCAAGCCAAACTGTCAAGAGTAACATCAAAATAAAGACATTTTCTGACAGGCAAGTTTTCAGAAAGTCTACCTACTTTGCACCCTTACTAAGAAAGTAGCTTGAGGAAGATCTCCAGCAAAATGAGGAAGATCTCCAGCAAAATGAGGAAGACCAGGAACGAGGAAGAAATGGAATCCAGAAAACAGTGGACCTCACCTAGGATGCCTCACTCTAGAGTGACAGTTGTCCAGCAGGATGCCTCACTCTAGAAGACCCATTTCAGATGAGAGCACACAGTCTCGGCCTCTTTGGGAAGAATATGCATTTTTTTCCACAGACAGTATCATTGAGAAGCTAGAATGTTTGAGAATATGGAAGACATACATGCCTCAGTCAGCAAGAAGAAAATGGAAATATGTCAAGACATTCAGACCCAGTTGTGAAACAAAAACTCCTAGAACGTATGAAGAGATGCAATTTGACATTGGCGGTAGGTACCTTTCCTTACAAGTGGCACAGGAATCCTGAACACTGGGCTATGTATGGCAAAAAATGCCCTTGCATCTACTTGTTTCTCAGTAAACAGTATTTACCTAGCCAAAATAACATAGATGCTGTTTTTTGGTATTCAGTGTTCTGATCAGCCTAGAGACAAAACATGAGAAGCTTAATTTTTTATTCAGAACTGAAATGGAAGGTAATGAATCCTGACAAGTTAAGAAACAAGAGATCACAGAGAGGGTGAGAATTGGTTGGGGGAAGAGGGGTAGAAGGACGAGATGGGCTATTTCTGTATTCACAGTGAGAAGAAGAAGGTGAAGTCTGCAGTTAATGCAACAAGAACTAGAGGGTAGTATACTGTCCAGTTGTAAATGAAATCAATAGAAGTCTTAAAAATGGCATATCTATCAAACTTTGGGAAAGGATAGGCAAAGGAAAGGTGGGGATAGTGTAAGTTAAATCCTTATCTTTTGTAATGGGGAATTATTAAAGATTGTCTAAAGTTAATAAGTCAAGAATTATTGTTCAGACATATTATTTAATGTTAGCAAGTTAGTTAACAGAAGATCTAAAAATAGAAAATGTTAAATGCATTGCCTCCAGGGAACGGGGCTAGGGTTAAAGAGGGTGGGGTGGGAAACCGTGTTCTTCATTTTAAGTCCTTCTGTACTATTTAATTTTTTACCTTGTGCATGTATTACTTTGAAAAATTTTTAATAAACTCAAATAAAAATTCTCCAGTGACTTCGTACTGACCAAGATACACTCCAGACCAAACCCTTAAAATGGCTTATGAGGCCCTCAGATATCTGGATCCACCCAGTGTGGCCAGGTCCATCTTTCTTCCCATTGCTCTCTAGTTCTGGCCACACTAAATCTCTTCCAGTTATTCACACTTCACCTTCTCATTTCTGCAGGTGTTCCACAAAAAAACAAGGCCTGACCCTGATCTCAGCATGTAACTGAGATTAAGCTTACTCTCTAGCAGATTTTCAGTATTCACTGAGTGAAGGAACACTCAACAGGTGTTGCCTGAAGATTGCCAACCAGTGTTCTTTCCCAAGAAGGCATGATATTTGTCCCTATTCTATTCCAGGGAGCATTTCAAGATCATAATGGGGCTGTAAGTCTCCTGAATTCCTATTTATTTGACAATTTTAGTAAGTTTTCATCTGAGATGAGCCCAGGTGGTGTCAGATTTCTATCTGTTGGTCTCCTTGTTCTTTGCCACTTTGCTTGAATGTCATAATCTGTTTTCTCCAATTCTCCCTCTGCCTCCCCCACCATATTTTGGAGAGGCAGTCAACTACGTAGGAGAAATCTTCAGGCTCCCAAATTTCTTGTTTTGCTATTCCTCATCTCTTGGCTCTTCCCTCTCCATTAGTTTACTTTCTTCTGTTGTCCGACTCCCAAGGCCAAGTGGAGCTCTCTGAGGAATGCTAGCCTTACAGCCATACATACTGGCCTTACACATTAGGCTCATATATTTAGTCCCTAAACCAATGTCCCCACCTGATGTCTCAACCTCACCTAAGGTATATGCTAGCAAGCCAATAGGTACGTAGATCTGGCATTACGTGTTGACTAGTCTTGCTGACAAAAGTAACACATTCTATCCCTTCTTTCAACATGACATCACTTCTATGTTCTTTATTCCTTCAGAGCTTTTGGACCCCTACTTAGCTTCCATTTTGAAAAGGATTTCTTTTTTGACCCTCATCATTAAAGTCAGAAGTGTGGTAGAGAAGGTGTGGTGGGTGATCCTCTACTTTTCGGGCACCTTCTAACTATACACACACACTCCACATCTAATTCAAGAGAGCTATAAAATGCTACTTCTGCATTTGGTTTCTCAAACAGTGCTATAAAGAAGCATTTCTTTGAGAGGAAAGTTGTTGTAGATTAAGTTATCGTCAACGTTCTATCATGTAGGATGCTTAGTTTTACAGGTGTTCATTGTATTTAAAAAAAAAATAGAATAAATGAATAAAAAAAAAGCCAGGAGGGCAAAATGATCAAATGTAAAACATAAGACAACCAAATCAAGCAGTCCAGGAGAGGCCCCACAAACTGAGGGATCCATCCCTTCCCCAACACAATCCCCCTGTAACCCAGGGCTCAAATATATGTAAAAGGCTACACCTATGCCTAGTCCTGTTATCTGTGAGTGTCTGCTTTCAGTAAGAGCCAAGTACATGAAAGAGGTCATAAACTCTCCTTGTAGCCTCCATCAAGGTAAGGAGTGGGAGAGGCCAACTCTAATTTTTTGTTTTGTTTTTTAATAGTTTGTCCTATTGTTCTTACTGCCAGAGCAGTTTGGGGGCCAAAGGAAACAATAATAAATCTTAAGGTTTCTGACATTATTCACAAGACATTTGCCACTGTGAGCTGGTGCACTGGTAAGAGTCAAAATCTAGAGCAGACTTAAATCTCAAATCCTCGTAGGAAACGGGGATTAAACTAGAAAAGCAAATAGCTGACTCCAGTCAGTAGTGTTGGAGTGACCTGTGGATAAGGCCTAGTGGACCTCTGGTACTGGGTGAAGAAGAGCATTTAATGGGATGGGGGGCGGGGGGGGAATCCTCAGGTGTTAACAGATGATGGTATTGATGCCCTCCAGCCAAAGACCACCAGTAGCTCCCCTCTAGCTGAACAAGTTGGCACCACGGGAAACGGCATCTCAGTAAAATGTGTTAAAAACAAACTAGTAGAGAATTTGGGCTTTGGGTGAATAATTTGGGGAAGGTCTAAGGAAGCAAGGCTTGGTTCTGGACTGGATGGTGTTAAGGCACAGGGGCGATTCTATGACTGTCTCAGTAAATCCCAACTATGGGTAAGGAGGCCCAAAATGGTCATAGAACCAGAAGTGGTCTCTGGAGACAGTAGCAGGCCCTTATTTTGGGGAAGAAAGAGGGATATTTGGTATTTTGTGGCTGCCCTGAGATCTTGTTCTTGTCTTGCTTTATCACATCTCAGAGTGATGTTGTTTGATGCGGATGTTTCGTGGAATGGTTGATGTACAAAGGGGAAAACAGTGCCTAGCTTTGAGTATCAGACAGGCTCCTGATGTCAGGGGCCACTTTTTTCTTTCTCAGTGCAAGAGAATGAATGAAGAGCCTTCGTTCCTCCTACACAAGATTAAAATATGCATTTCTCTTGACTGAGCATAGGGATAAGTTGGGGAAAAAAATTAATATCACAAGGCACACAAGAGTGACCCTGGAAAGGTCTGATTCTCTAGACTTGGTGGAATTCTTGGTTGTGATTCAAAATGATGTTGGGCCACTAGACAATACTGACAGGTCCCTTATTGTCTGA